AAAATTAGAAAATTAAAGATATCATCATGAAATGAAAAAAATTGAGAGTGGACCACATGTAGTACCTATATATCTAATATCAAAGCAATGGACTTGCGGTTTTTAACGAGAAGTCGAAAATATCATTTTTTACCAAAAATGACAAAAATATTCACCAAAATTAGAGAATTGAAGATATCATTACAAAATGAACAAATCTGAGAGAGATCCACATGTAGTACCTATATATGTAATATCAAAGCAATTGGACTTGGGGTTTTTAACAAGAAGTCGAAAATATCACTTTTTACCAAAAATGACAAAAATATTCACCAAAATTAGAGAATTGAAGATATGATCATGAAATGAACAAATCTGAGAGAGGTCTACCCAAGGTACATATACACCAAGTATCAAAGCATTCAGGCTTGTAGTTTTCAAGAAGAAGTCGAATAAGTAAAACATTGACACGGACGACGGACAATCACTCATATGATAAGCTCCGCTCGACAAAGTCGACAGCGGAGCTAAAAAAGCTGCTAAGTTTATTTGGGTCGGCATGTACTTATTGAAAATTGAATGTAATACAGTGTATAAACAGTTTGAGTACATGTATATGATTAAGTGGTGTTAGAAATAGAATAAAAACTTACGTTCTGCTTTATGATTGAGAAATTCTACGATATCTATATACTGTTGATGACACTGACCACAAATTAATACATCCACTACTGCTCCAATATCTTGGGGAATCTCAGTTCGAGAGGCCACTTCAGCAGTTTGAGTCAAGGGCGTCTCATGAGTTCTGGTAATAGTGCAAGGATTGGTTGAAGTCACATGATATTGTACTGTAACTGTTGCTGTCCCATTAGCTTCTGTTTCAGTTGCCTCAATTATGGCAGGTACTGTATGCATTAAATCAACTGTAAAACACATTGCATTAATTATTATTACATACAGAAAAATTAGTCCAAAGGTTTTTTTTTTTTTTTATAGAGGATCAAGTTTTCCACCAAACCATCTGTAAATTAACCAATTTACAGCACATTGCATTGCTGTACCAACAGAGTTGGTCATTCTAGTTTCTATCCACACACCTTCAGGAATATGGTATGTGTACTCTTTAGAATAAGATACAACGCTCACTCCAAGGTTCTTAAGGTAGATGCCTACTCATGATTTCAAAAACCCAGAATTTATTCATTTTTTAATATATTGTACTTCCGGGCAATATAAGAATATTGACTTTGAAAAAAATGTGGGTCACCAGGTTAATTTTTGAGAAAATCATGGTTGTATTTTCGTGGATAGCGGCCATTTTGGCAGTATTATAGTGCTTTTACCATAGGTTCCTATGGCAGAGATATTATGCCATATCTCAAATTGTAGGCTGGTGACATAGGCTGCAAAAATAATAAAATGTTAATGTCGCATACGACTTATTTACCACTTCCGTGTCACTGAGAATGTTCTAGAACCGTACTGTGTCTGGGTGGAATATTCTAGATTTTTTT